AGACTCGGGCCTGCCATAAGCACGGCATGTGCGCAGGGCTGCCTTGTGCGCCCGGAATGGCCCCGTGGCCCTTGCTACACGTTAGGTGGCTGACATAACTCACTGGTGAATCGCGGAACACATTTAGGCCGGACACATGCCCAGCAATTACCCCGCGATAAAAGTGACTGGCCCACTATATAAAAAGAGCCGAGCAGTTGTTAAGTCAGTGCCCCAAAACGTGTTAGGCCTCACCCCTGGCCCCTGTCCGGGCTCCGCTGGAAGGGGAGCAGGGACCCAGGGTCAAAAAAGCCAGCGCGAGCGTCTCGCCTGGCGCTACCCAAGGGGGGCCGCAGGTCAAAAATGGACTGAGAAGCGCTGCTCCGTGGTTCAGTCGCTGCAGCTATGGCAGCTTGCGTCGCACCCCCCTGGCGTGGGGCTGCCTTTCAGTAACCACCGCCAGCACGTGGCTGCTCTGCTGGGGCAACCCCCCCCCCCCCCCCCCAGTGGGCCTGGCTGGGACAATCGCCTTTCCTGCCAGTGCTCCCTGCTCTGTGACACCCACCGCTGCTGGTCCAGGTTTGAGGCATCTGACCCTTTATCCCCTTTCTGGATCGCCATGGAGCAGTGGCCTTGATTTCCCCAGGATGCAGCAATACAAACGCAGGCAGCAAGTAGGTGCTGCCTTGCCATTGAGGTGACGCTGGCAGAACTAGGATGGTTTGGACAGGGATGATCCTGCCTCAGACAGGGTTGGACTCGATGGCCCCTAGAGGTCCCTTCCAGCCAGGCTTCTCTGCAATTCTATGAAATTCGCTCCGTACACAAATTTACCCGCCTGATTTGTAACTTGGTAAAACGACTGCATTTCTGACCAATTACAAAACCACAGTTTGACTCGTACTACGGACTTGGTGCTATAACTATTTACAGGCAAGGTACTTTGAGTAGATGTGACATCTTTTATTAGACCAACTGAATAGTTGGGTGAAAAGTTCTTAGCAAGTTTTTGGGTGCAATCCCCCTTCTTCAGGCATGGGGAGTCTCTGCTGTCTTCCCTTCTATGCCTTACTGGGAGAGACTAAGATGAAGTTACACCAAAACTCTGGATTCAAATATAAAATATACCCGATGCATTCAGATTACATCCAGCCCTTCTCCCCTTAATAAACCAAACCAACCTCCCTCATGCTGGACACATAGGACTGAAAAGCTTTGAATCAGTGCTTTACAAATGGTTGTAAAATTCTGAGAAAGCTCAGATCCAGGCCTGCCATCCCCTAATGAGGAAAGCCTCAGTCTTGGGACTGTGTTGATCCAGGTGGAGTTTTGTAGGTTACGCTCATCTTGAATTAAATCTCACTTTTATCTTGAGACTGGCCTGTCTACATTTCATTTGGGCAAGACTGGGAAAAAGACAGAGCTCCTGTTTAGAAAGAACGTGTCTGGGCTCATGTTTAGAAAGAAAAAGGATAAAAGAAAGAAAGATGTGTGTGGTGCATTTGGCCCTGAATATAAACTCTTTCCTGTATCTCCCCAGACAAGGCATTACCACATTCTGAAATAAATCAATACAAAATATTTAATTTAATCTCATCAAGCAAGTCAGACATTTTGCCTAATTCAGCTGCTACAACTGGATGATCTTAGTGTGCCTGGAGCTGTGAGCTCTGGAAGCTGCTAGTGGTACAGTAGTAGCTCTCTAAATTAGTTGAAGCTATTGATTAAATAAGGCCACTGAATATTTCACAGATTTTTCTGCTGTTTGATAACTGTGACTAAGGTTGTTTGAATTAAGTTGTTCTGCACACACTAATGATTTAAGCCATCTAGGATTGCTTCCCTTATATTACTTTCTTTAGTTGTCTGTCTGCTCTGTTTGTTCTGAAATTCTCAGCTTTTGCTTAGATTGGGGGTGTCAAAGATCCAGCCTGCAGGTCAGATCCAGCCCATGGAACCCTAACACTGATGCTGGCCCCAGCCCTGGCCCCGCTCATTGCATGCAGCACTTGCACCAGCTCAGCCCTGCATGTAGGCTCTGGGTCCAGACTGCACCCCCAGACTGTCCCTGCATGCCACTGTCAGAGCACAAGGCCAGTCCAGTGCAAGCACCATATGCATTGCGTGTCCTGTACTGGCCCCATGTTCCACTTGCAACATGACCTCTAGTCTGAGGCCAGTATTCAGGGCTGGACCGGGCACGAGAGCACACTGCATGCAGCACATGAGACTGATCCGGGGCATGCACTGTATGTGATTGTAGTGAGCATATTTGTTATTACCCTGAAATAGAATAGTTTTCTGATCGCATACTGTTAAGTTAACAATAATTTGAATTATTAAGAAGTATTAGCTTTGCAGCTGAATACAAGGCATGACCTGTGGCCTAGCAATACCGCTGACCACAAGGCAAAATAATAGCTAAACCTTTGCTTGTGTCAAGTAATCATTTTAACTGTGTTAAGCATTTTCTGAGTAAAATGCAGCAAGTAAATCTGTGTCTGTGTGCTGTAAAATCGGCTACAGCAAAGAACAAGATAAGACAAAGAAGCCATTGTTCTAAGTACAGTGATCGTGTCCTTAAGAAGTATCTACTACTGTGCAAGTTTTTCCTAACCTATCATAATGTTACTGTTACTTAACTTTTAGCTTTTAAAAAGTGCTAGTTCAGCTTAATAGAAATATGCTGTTATGAAAATTTGTAAAGCACCGCCCAAGTATTGCTTTTGTTAACCCTGTAGTCTTGCCTTGTTGTAAAAAGTATAAAAGATCGCCCCACCCTTTAGGGGGGGCCATTTTGCCTCTTTGCTGGCTTTATGGTCATTGCTCGAGCAAATATACTGTAGTAAAACTTTACCCGTGTTGTCTAGTTTCTATGCAGCTAAACAATGAACCCCAGGAAGTTTTCTCCCACCACATGATGTCCCACCAGACTGGCCTTGTACACTGGCTCCAGAACTAGTTTCCATTAGGTCCACAGGGCCCATCCAGACTGGCCCTGTGGCTGGGCCCTGTGGCTGAGTGAGTTCGATACCCCTAGGCTGGGAGCGGCCCTAGCTTAGATTAGAAACTCTTTGGGGAAGGGACCACCTTGTTATTTTTTTTACAGCACCTTGCACAGAGAAGTTCTGATCCATAACAGAGCTCTGAGGCATTATCATAATGCTAGTAATAATAAAGCAACAATAAAGCAACAATAGTCACTGATAACAATAGTAATATAGAGACAATTCACTGCTATTCTGTATTTCAGGAGATAAAGCTATGGGGAGATGTGGACACGCCGGAGGGCAGGGAACAGCTGCAAGCAGATCTGGACAGGTTGGACAAGTGGGCAGAAAACAAGGAGAAATGCAAAGTGCTGCACCTAGGGAGGAAAAATGTCCAGCACACCTACAGCCTAGGGAATGACCTGCTGGGTGGCACGGAAGTGGAAAGGGATCTTGGAGTCCTAGTGGACTCCAAGATGAACATGAATCAGCAGTAGGCATCTGACGAAGCCATCAGAAAAGCCAATGGCACTTTATCGTGCATCAGCAGATGCATGACGAATAAATCCAAGGAGGTGATACTTCCTCTCTATCGGGCGCTGGTCAGACCGCAGTTGGAGTACTGCGTGCAATTCTCAGCACTGCACTTCAAGAGGGATGCGGATAACCTGGAGAGGGTCCAGAGAAGGGCCACTC